ATCTATTAAAACTGTCTTTAATAATTTCACATATTGTTATGCTATATTCTGATTACCATCACCCTTGGCATTTCTTAGCTTCCTTCCATCCCTAGTATCAGCATCCACAAGTCCCTTTCTCAGACATATGTGTTTTTATTTTGTTTAACCATTGTCATCTGTATGGCCATGGGTTTGCAATCATCTACTGGAGCATGGTGGGCTCATCAGTGGGCACACAGCTGAAGAGAATGTCTGCCCATCCTCAGAATCCATCAGTCTTTAGTGAGAGTTGGTGCCCACATAATGATCTGGAAGTGATTATTATTATTATTATTATTATTATTATTATTATTATTATTATTTTACATCCAGACCACAGTTTCCTCTCCTTCCTCTCCTCTGAGTCCCTCCCTCCAACATACCCTTCTCCCCATCCACTCTTCCTCTATTTCTCTTCAGAAAAGGGAAGGTCTCCCATGGATATGAACCAAACAGAGTATATCAAGTTGCAATAAGACTAGGCACTTCCCCTCAGATTAAGGCTGGACAAGGCAACCTAGTATGAGAAAAAGGGTTCCAAAAGCTGTCAAAAGAGTCAGAGAGACCCTGATCCCATTGTTAGGAGTCCCACAAAAAGACTAAGCTACAAAATTTTAACATATATGCAGGGGGCCTAGGTCACTCCCATGCAGCCTCCCTGGTTGTCAGTTCAGTCTCTCTGAGCCCTTATGAATCCAGGTTAGTTGAGTCTGGGTTTTCTTGTGGTATCCTTAGCTCCTCTGCCTCCTACAATCTTTCCTCATCCTCTTCCACAGGATTTCTCAAGCTCCTCCACTTAATCTTTGACTGTAGGTCTTTGTATCTGTTTCCATCGGTTGCTGAATGATGCCTCTCTGAAGACATAGGAACCAGTCTATGAGAATAGCAGAACATCATCAGGAATCATTTGATTGATTTTTTTTGCCAGTTGTGTTTGGTCCTATCCTAGGTCTCTGGGCTATTCAGCCTCTGGGTCCTGGCCCTCTAAGCAGTGTCAGGGGTGGGTTCCCTCCTAGCATGGGTCTCAAGTTGGACCAGTCATTGGTTGGCCACTCCCCCAATTTCTGAGCCATCTTTACCCCCAGAACATGTTGTAGGCAGAACAAATAAGTGTGGAGAGGATGGAGGGAGAGATTACTGAGAGAGACAACTGGAATTAAGGGACATATTGGGGATGAGCTAGAAACCTAATGCAATGGAAAATCCTAGGAATCTATGAGGGTGGTCCTCACTAAGACTCCTAGCAATGGGAGATATGGAGCCTGCACTGGCCATCTCCTATAAGGAGGCAAGACTTCTAGTAGAGGATTGGGTCACCAACCCAACCATATAACCTTTGATCTGGGAGTGTTTTAACTGCAGCAAATGCCTGCCATCAACTTTGCTAATGCTCACTGAGCTGATATTTTTCTATATATATTAGAATTTCTTTTCTATATATATTACATGAATATCTCTGCAAATGCTGTGATCTTGTGCAAAAGAATAAAGGACCATTGTTTGTCAAAAGTATGTGAGAAAGCACCTATTCTGCAGGGACACTCACAAATATCATAAATGTTTATTGTTCTTTCAAAGAGCAGTAATTCTCAGTTTATGATATTTGGATAACTTACCCATCTGTAACCTCAGGAATTGTGCATTGCATTAATCATCCCATAATATCTCAGCATCCTTATCTCTATAACAAAGCCTTGAGATAGTGTCTTAGTTACTGTTCTACTGCTGTGAGGAGACGCCATGATCAATACAGTTTATAGGAGAAAGTATTTCCTTGGGCCTTGTTTACAGTTTCAGAAGGTTAGTCCATGATCATTGTGGAGAGCATGGCAGCAGGTAGGCAGACATGCCTCCAGAGCAGTAGCTGAGATATTACATCCAGATCTTCGGCCTGGAGTGGGCTTTTAAAATCTCAAACTCCACTCCCATTGACACATCTCTTCCATCTCCTCCAAGAAGGCCAAACCTTCCTGAACAGTTCACCAAGAGGAGCCCATGGAGACCATTCTCATTCAAACCACCACAGATAAGTTCCCTTAAATGTCCTTCGAAGCTTTCCAATTCTATTCATATAACCTCAGAAGTGATTGCATCCTTAGGTTCCATGTGACTGGAATGTTCCTGGGGTGAAATAAAGATAAGAAGTAGTGCCTGTTCCTAGTCCTCATCAAGTTCACAAGGACCTGAGAGTGTCTAGCAACAAAACATACTATGGATGGAGAAAAACAATGATTAGTAAGGCTTAAGGAAGATGACAGTGCTTTATAATATGTGTATAAAGCAGAACAGATATTGAAAGTCTACATCACTTAAATCTGTCCTTAACATTTCATCCAAAATGCTGTGTTTACTCCTCCTTCTGTTGAATGAGTTAAAATGGATAATGGGCAATCAAATTATAGACATCAAAACACAACGTGATTCAATACAAAGAATGTCATAGGTCTAGGAAGTTAAACCTATTAAAATAGTCTAACTTACATGATGACATGAGGTAAACATAGATTATAATAACCATTCATGGGGAAAATGAAGCATGAATGGTGATTACATAAATAAAGTCATTTTCAAGTATAAAAATCTGTAACTATTATACTAATACAGAAAATAATTTCTAAACCCTTCATTCCAAAACCCATTAGAATTGCTGGAAATTTCCAAATTTATTAACAAGCTTCTCTGATTATTATAAAATAACACCTTGAATGATCCTAGATAAGAAAACATTTTGTTCCTTACTATTACAAAATGGTATCCTATGTAGGAGAAAGAATGTGCATCTCTGCGGCTTTTAAAATATCTCTTTCATGTTTGTAAAAGGTGCACTGCAATATATGCCCTCAGTTCTCAATATATTAAATAATCCTACAGTACTTTATACATTAAATATTTACAAGTTATAGAAACAAAAAACCCAGCTACAATATGTTTCTTCTCCTAGATATTTGCCTGACAATTTTCCTACACATCCTTCTAGCCCATTTTTATTTTTGCCAAGTCCTTACTCATTTTCATTCCACTTACACTGTCTCTGAATCTTTTGACTTCACTGGCTCTTTGAGGCTCACTCAGTTGCTTAGCAGAGCTATGGGACATCCTTGTTGGTTCTACGTCTTCTAGTGTCACCCTGGGGCAGGAATGAGTTCAACAGAACGCTCCATGTCCTTGTGATGCGCTAGCTCTCCTTCAGCACCTGTCATACCTCCCTGAAGCCTCATCTTCACAATGACTGACTGTAAGGCAATACCTAACTAAAACAGATGGAAACTGGGAGAGTCACAGTATGAGAACAACAGGTAACAATGCTGCTCTAAACATTTCTAGCATTTTCCTCTTCAAACAAATAAAAACAAACAAACAAACAAAAATCCCAACTCTATGATCCAGCCATTCCCAGGCATTCCAAGACACCCACCACCACGGAATAACCAGCTGTGTTGGTTTAGACAGAGTGTTACAACCTGATATCTGGATTCTCTTGTGTTCCTCCACTCCAACTCATTCTCACTCCTGATGTCTAAAGCTGTATTTTCATTTCAGTGTTTCTCAACATGTGGGTCAAGACCCCCACGGGGGGTTGCATATCAGATATTTATATTACAATTCATAACAGTAGCAAAAATAAAGTTATCAGGTAACAGCGGAATAATTTTGTGGTTGGGGGTCACCACAACATGAGGATCTGTATTAAAGGGTCAAAGAATTAGGAAGGTTGAGAACCACTGGTCTGTATCATGGCGCCAAACCAGAACACTCACTGAAGTTCTGTGCTTAGGTACAGAGGTTCTTGACAGTTTGTACAAAGAGTGCAAGAAACGTTTTGCCTACCCAGAGTTGCAAAGCTGGTCTCATGTTTTCTTCTAGGAGTTTGTTTACCTGGTGTTATACTTAGATCAGTTCTAATTTGAGGTGTGTGAGTGTGTGTGGTGTGAAAGAGAGATCAAAGTTTTTTTCCATGTGGCTCTTTCATGGTTCCAGCACAATTAGTTGAAAATACTTCTTCTTCAGCATAATTCTCTGTAAATGTCTTAAATTTCAGGTGCATGTGTGGTTTGTTTGTCCGTGTGTGTGTGTGTGTGTGTGTGTGTGTGTGTGTGTGTGTGTGTGTTTGTGTGTGCATATGTACCTGTGTTTGTGTGTGTGTGCACTTGAATGAATCTTTTATCTGCTTGATGTAATTCAATGTTGACTCATTTAGCATAACTGTAGAGTAACTTTGAAATCAAGTAGAATTATTCTCCAAAATTATATCTTTTTTAGAGTTGCTTTTTATGTTCCAAGTCTTTTACATTGCTATAGAAATTTCAGAAATTTGCTTGACAACTTTTACTAAAAAGCATTCTAGAGCTTTCACTAAGGTGAGATTGGAGCTACAGCTCAATTTTGGAATCACTGTCATCTTAACAATATTGCTTTATAAAAACTTATACAGATCATCTGAATTCCAAAAATTAAAATGAAGTTCATCACAGTAAATTATTTTACTTAAAAAAAATTGACCATTTGGAGACAAGAAGCCACAGACTAAAATAAGATGTTTTTAAATCATTTGACAACAAACTCGTGTCTATATTTAAAAAAACTCTCAGAATCAACTAACAAGAAAAAAAACACTTTTTTTGTGTAAAAGTGTTAAATAGAAATTCCACTATGTGATGTCAAAACAAACACACACACACACACACACACACACACACACACACACACACACACAAAATAGATTTATCATCGTTTGTCATTTTTAAAGTAAAAATTGCAATCTAAATGAAATTTCATAATACAATTATTATGATGACAGACTTCAGGGAGACTAGAACTATCAGCTCTATTTCTGGGAAATGGGAATGACACAACCTGGTGAAGAATGATTTAGCAACTTTTCTTTTTTCTTATTTAGTTTTTATTCATGTTCTTAAACTTAACTCTGCAATCCACCTAGACTTAGAAGGGAATGAAAAAAATATGAAACTCAAAGAATTTCAATGAGAACAGAGATACCTGGGGACTGTAGCAGATGGGGTGCTCTCCTGAGCTACAGAAAGAATGGTCTGATGGGTTAAAAGCCTGTAAATCAAAAAAAAACTTAGTAGTCCAAAGTCAGAAATGGTGATCTTCTTGCTGGTCTTGCCATTCCTGGATCCCAAATGCTCCATTGCTTCCAGGATGCTCACATCTTCTTTCACCTTCCCAGAGACCACATGTTTGCTAGCCAGCCACTCAGTCTTGGAAGTGCAGATAAAACAAAACAAAACAAAAAACTGGGAACCATTTGTGTTTCGTCCAGAATTTACCATGGACAAGATGCCAGGACCTGTATGCTTCAGGATGAAGTTCTCATCCTCAAATTTCTCCCCATAGATGGACCTGTGGCCAGTGCTATTATGGCTTCTGAAGTTAGCACTTTGGCACATGAATCCTGGAATAATTCTGTAAAAGGAGAAGCCCTTATATCCAAATCCTTCCTCTCCAGTGCTCAGACTAAGAAAGTTTGGAACTTTTTCTGCAAACAGTTGGATGCAGACACAGTCCAGGGTCTCGCCATCAGCCACGATGCTGAAGAACACTGTTGTGTTGACCATGTCTTCAGTAAGCGACCACAGGGCACAGTGGAGTCTGCAAAGCATGTTTGGCAACTTCTTCAAGTGTCAAATACATGCCTGCCATAAGATGGAGCCACCTCACTTCTAGGTATTTGCCCATAGACATGAATGCTTATGCCCCCTCCTAAGACTTGTACATATATGTTTATAGAAGTTTCTAGTGTAACAGACAGAGATGTGAATGAGTTTAAATGCCCATCAGAATAGTCATGGATAAGAAAATTGTGAAATAATGATACAATTAAAAGTCACCCAACAATAATTAATTATGAATACTTTAGAGAGATTGGGAGTGCAAACTGCTCTTGCAGAGGACCTGAGTCTGTAAATATAGCTCCTGTGGAATCTAAGCCTTTGACCTCCATGGACACCTTCATTCATGTATGTGAGCACGCGCGTGCGCAATCACACACACACACACACACACACACACACATGCATACATACACACTCACACATGCACACACACGTGCACACACACACACCATTAAAATAAAATAAAACTGTTAAAATATTAACAATAGATTAAAACATTCAATTTCCGTGTTCTTTTTCTCAAGTTAATTAAAAGACTTTGGATGCAAAATACTACATGTCAACGAGAGTTCTTGTCTCAAATGAAAAGTAGATCCCCAGAGAAGCAAGACCCAAGATTGGCCTCTGACTGCCACGTGTACACATATGAGCACCTGTGAGAGAATACACACACACACACACACACACACACACACACACACACACACACACACACGTTTTTGTTCTAAGCATTCATCAAATAAAATACAGCTAATACTATTCATTAATTATTATACCTTAGTTCTATAGCAAAACTAACAACTGCCTGTGCCAATGCTTACTGTGGCTTGTAAGAAAATTTACATTCAACTGAGTTATATTAAAAAAATCAAAGTGTACATTTTCTCAATTTGGAATTCATATTTTTAGGCTATGAGTTAGACTTCTATCTTGACAGATTTAAGTGGTAATTTGTTATAACATGAGATGGCATGAAATGTATTTATTGACATTTCAAATTACAGCATTTTCAATGAGCAAGATATCTAATTTTAAGCCACTAAAACAGCATGATGCAGCCATACATTTCTTGCTGAATAGCAATCACTCAGATATGGGGTTCTAATTTATAGCTGTTATCTAGGATGGGAATACTACACACAAAAAATGAAGCTAAGTAGACAAGAGGTTGCCATCATGATTATTAACGTGCTACACTTCTATTTTAAAATGCTAAGTAATTCTATGATGTTTCAGCATTTAATAATTGTGCCAGCTCAATAAAAACATGTGAAATCATTATTTCCTGACATTAATGAAGTCGACTTTTCCAGCACTATTTGAATAGGCAATGAATGAGGAGACTCAAAAATGTATTAAAACCAGGTCAGCTGTTCTGCGTTTCCCACAATACATCCACAGTCCCATGAAGAGGAATCTTAAACTATTTTTTTAGAGCAGCCTGTACATCTTTATCTTGAAATTCCAAATGTTTCAACAATAGACGATTGTTAAGAACTAGACAATTATTTTTCAGCACCCACTGATTAATGACTTAGTCTATGACACAGGAGAAGTGCTAGAACAAAGGCGTCCATTATAATAATGCACATGCATTAAACCATCTTCATTAATAGAATCTTCTGAATTCAGTTCAGCCTAAAGCCGAATATGCCAAGAAGGAAGTTGAGTGGTAAGAATTTTAAGCATATTTTGAAACTCACTTGATAAGAAGATTAAATAACATCACTGTCCTCTATTAAAATTATTTCTTTCCTTTTATTTCTTTCTCTTTCCTGCCTCCATCCTCTTTTCCTCCCTTTTCCTTTCAGTCTGTCTGTTCCTCTCTCTCTCTCTCTCTCTCTCTCTCTCTCTCTCTCTCTCTCTCTCTCTCTCTCTCAAACACATTCGCACACAATGTTAACCCAGTAAAAATTACCATAAAATAGCATTGTAAATGTTACAAGAAATTAATATTTTTAAACTCACAGGCTTGGCTGTTATTTTTATTCAGAAGATGGGTATTTTATATAATTGCTGTCTTTTTCAACAAAAATGCAATATAGCAATAGAGAGGTGATACCGGTTATGTCATTTGAGTAACCTTACCCACTTGGTAATTTCTCTAATAGTAGCAGGGAAGATAAAGCTTTAGAAAATGAGATTCTTTTTTGATGTTTAGATACTGAGCTTGGTCTATAGAATTCCTGCTCCTGACAGAACAATTGAAAAGTGCATTGTGATTATCATGTCACCCAAACTTTATTGGAGAGCTATCAGGCCACTGCTTGGATCCCTACTGAGTATATATGTATATATGCTGGTCAGTACCTTTGTTTCTTCCATGGTAATAGTGATGTAAATAGCCAAATTCACAAATCCAAACAAAGCAACTATGATCATCTTTATATCTAATAACTGGGGAATTTGTGTACTTTTCAGGTCTGCCCCAAGCAATCTGCCTGAATAATGCCATCAATTTTCACAAGAGACACAGAAAGTAAAAGCTACAGACATCCCCATTTTACAGAAGTAAATAAGCCTTGGGGAACTTGGGTTTCACATGATGTCATAGTTTTTAATGTGGACATTATAGGCAATTTGAAATTCTGTGTGTCTTACATGGATGAACTGCCCTTGATTTCTTGGGAGCAGATTTTTTTGTATTCCATTTTGCTGTTACCGTTCTTAGTTCATATTTTCCATTCTTGCTAGTCATTCTTACTATACAACCAAAGTATCTTTGGGGAACAGAGAAAGGCAGCCTCTCCAGAGAGCTTTTGATCTCTGCTTCCTGGCATGCACATCTTTATTACATGTGATGAGCAGAAAACTGAGGAATCAGAGAATGTAACTTCTGTAGTAGTGAAATACTTCTACTTCTTTCTTGAATATGATCACCCCTCCTCCTCTTCATAGTCTTTTTTGATGTTTAGATACTGAGTATGCTAGGAAAACTCTGGATTGCTCCACGAAGTTGAGTTCCAGGGTAAATGGTTGCCGAGCAACAGATGGATGAAGAGGGAGTGAGAGAAGGGCAACACTTTCTGAAAGTGTAGGATATGTAGCACTATTTGATAATTATAATGTTTCTAACCTTTGTAACAAGTCTATGAAATATTATCATTGTATCTTACAAATGAGAAGATCCAGGCTAACCACAATCCAAGCACATTCTCTGTCTATAGAATTGGGATTGTGGGCAGGGAGGGCAGAACACAGAAATACCAGATCTTCTTTGCTCAGGGTTTACATTTCCACTCTAGAAAACTGAGATTGTGTGTGTGTGTGTGTGTGTGTGTGTGTGTGTGTGTGTGTGTGTGTGTGTGTGTGTGACCAATTCCAGCACAGGATGAGATTCTTAAATATACCAGATTACTGCTTGCCAGGTGTTGGTGAAGGATTAGTATGAATATCATTCTAAGTTTTGATTTTAAGATTCTTGACTGCTTTCTTGCTTGTTTCAATCTTTGTACCAGGTTCTTATCACAGTGCCTTAATCTGACTTTGAGTTTGCTGATACAGACTGCAATTAATCTGTGAATTTTTCTGGGGATTTAACTCCAGAGACATCTGAGCAACTTTGCTAACATGCTTATGATGATGCTTGGGTGCTAGTTTTCTTGGGAACAAGGGAATTAAGACAAGGGAATCAGGGCAGGTTTGAAACTAAGAAAAAGAAACTTAAAATGTGTCTATATTCAATTGAATGATATTCAACTAAAACTAAACTGGTGTGAAGATTGATGGAGAGTAGAACAAGTCAGAGAATTAATAGAAAATAACCAGGAAGTTTAATCACAAGCTTTTCCAGGTCTAGAAAGATGGCTCGGTGAGTGAAACACTTGCCATGCAAACCTCCTGGACCATGAAAATACAGGAATAGGTGTGTGTGTCTGCAATCCCTGTGTTGTAGCAAAATGTGAAGCAGACAGAATTGCCCAAAGCTCAAATAGTTAGTCTGGTGTGTACAGCAGTGAAGAATAGAGAAAACACCCTATCTCAAACACAGTGGAAGGTGAGAACCCACACTGTGGTTGTCCTTTGATTTCCACATGCCAGTCACAGTATACATGGACACACACACACACACACACACTAGATTAAAGTGTTTTCTATTTGAATCAGTGTGGATATTTAATTTTCAACAAGTTATTTCTTTTTTTCCAGTATAGATTTCTTTGTGTTTGAAAGACAACAGACATTTACCCTTATGTCAGTGTAGACTATTAATAGAAACCTTAGGAATGGTTTCTTTCTTCTTTCTCATGTTTGTTAAAAAAAATAATTCCTTTTTGGGAGATATTTTGGCATTCTTTTCTCTTCTCCATTTAATAGTTTTCATTGCTTAGTTTCCAGCTGAGTGGTCACTTCTGGTAGAATCCTCTCTGAAGACAATGTCTCTGCTTGTGATGTCAGAGCTGACTGCACTCCATGAAGGATCCATTAATAATGTGGATAATTAACCCAAGGAAAGGGATGATGTGTGTGTTCGTTGAAATGGTGCTATAGTACTTATTTTTCTCATTGCTGTGATGAAATAGCTAACAAGAAGTGACTTAAAAGACAAAGGGTTTATGTTGACTTATAGTTCAAGTGGATGTAGTCCAACATATCTAGTAAAACATGGCAGCAGACAGAGAAGGTACAGAATTAGAAAGTGGGGACAGCAGGTCACACTGCAGCTGCAGACAGGAAGCAGAGAATAAGTAGAACACAGAGTCAAGCTGTAAAACCTCAAAACTCAGACTTCAGAAGCCCACTTCCTCCAACAAAGCTCTGCATTCTAAAAGTTCCACAACCTTCCCAATGAGTGCCATCATCTGGGGATCAATTATTTAATCACATGAGCTTTTTGGGGACATTTCCATTCAAACTCATAGGTCTTGAGCATAGGCTTGTTATCTGTCTCTAATGCCAGTTCTAACTTTGTCTTTGAGCATAGCAATATACACAAAATGCCCTGGAAGAGGGCCAACTAAATGAGAGAATTGTGCAGATTAAAAAACATTAATTGTCATTATTTATACCTAGTC